TCTATCTATCTATCTGTCTGTCTGTCTGTCTGTCTGTCTGTCTGTCTGTCTGTCTGTCTGTCTGTCTGTCTGTCTGTCTGTCTATCTATCTGTCTATCTATCTATCTATCTATCTATCTAATCTGTCCTTCTGAAAAAAACTAACCTGTGGGTCACACCCTCCGTTGGGCTCATCTGCACAAGGGTTAATGGCTACGCATTCATCACCGTCACCTCTGTACCCAGGCAGGCATCGGCAACTAGTGAAAATAAAATTGAATTGTATCGTCGTAAGGCTGTTATTCACTCGAGAAGCATATGGGTCGCGACGAGGTGGAATCAGGTCCTGGTCGATTTTTTCGGGCATGTGAAGTTATTGGTATCATCTCAAAGTCTGTTCATTTGCCTTGCTTTCGATGAAAAAATAACCTATCTATCTTGAATAGAAGTCGAGACGTTTGCCATTGAAGGATGTGTGGGTCGCCTGCTTTCACGGATAAACTTAGCTAGAAAATGACGGCGAAAATTTGGTGACTTCCATAGATTGAGAGTCCTTGGAAACTGAACAATCTACTTTTCATGTGCCTTTAATAAACGTTTTCAATTAAATCTACACAGATATGTGTTTTAATTTGAGATTAAATGTGTTGAGCTAAAAAAAAAATAAATTCAACCCAAACATTTAGACAAAAATTGACAAACCGGCGGGAAAATGCCGGTTTCTTCGATTGTATTATTTTGGAGAGCGCCTGATTTCACCACGATGTCTTACATACATTCTGGAAGGGAGAGACCTAACATACGATGGGAATAGGACATAGAAGTCTGACTCGGAACCGAGACAACCCAGTCAGGCAAAATGGCAAGTAACAGACTGCTGTAATGAAGAAAGGTAGGGGAAGCAACGTCTTACTGCTGGAAAAGCAAAGGCGAAAAAATACATTAAATTAATTCTCTTTGCAGCACTGTCAGATTATTTAAGAGGCGGGACCTCCAACTTTAACGTCCGTCTAAGATAGAACTGAGCCAAATGGGATCAATCACCAATAGTGACTTTTGCATAGAGCTACAGACGAGTAGGTTAGGGATCCGGTTTGACACCAGTTTGAAAACAATCGATTTTATATACGTGTGCATGTTCCAAAGCACAGTTCCTGAAAAATGGAGAGCTTTGAAAAAAACTCAAGATTAAAAACATCAGAATAAATATTCGAAGGACAAAGCCCAGTCTGATAATAGCTATCCTGAGTATACTTCCAAATCAGACTGGAAACGTGTGTATGTGTATGTGTGTGTGTGTGTGTGTGTGTGTGTGTGTGTGTGTGTGTGTGTGTGTGT